GTGGGGGAGGGGAGTGCGAAGTCTAGACTTTTAGTCGTCCCTGGGGAGTTGAGGAAGGAGGTTCTACGCCTGTGCCATGACGTCCCAGCAGCAGGCCACCAGGGCATTGATAGAACCAAGGCACGCCTGAGTGATAGATTTTTCTGGTATGACATGATGAGGGAGGCAGAACAGTTCGTGAGCACCTGTGGTCCTTGCAGCAGGAATAAGCATCCTCAGCGCCATGCCCGGGCAGAGATGATTAAGTACCATGCTGGCGCCCCTATGTAGAGAGTCCATCTTGATTTTCTGGGGCCCCTACCCCGGACTAAACAGGGTAATGAATATGTACCTGTCATGGTGGATCAGTTCACCAAGTGGGTGGAGTGTGTCCCTCTGCCCATTCAGACTGCTGAGGCAACAGCTACTGTTGCGGTCGATCAGTTCTTTGCTCGCTTTGGCTGTCCCTTCCAGATCTTTACCGACCAGGGTAGAAACTTTGAAAGTAAGCTCTTCACTGCAGTGTGCGACTTGTTGCAGATCCATAAGGCCCGCACCACTCCTTATCGTCCCTCGGCCAATGGCCAGGTAGAAAGGTATAACAGAACCTTGATGGATGCTGTGCGTTGTTATATAAACAAGGCCCAGAACTGCTGGGATGAACATCTTGCCCAGATAGCAGGTGCCCTGCGCTCTGCGGTCAACCGGAACACAGACTTTACTGCGAACAAGCTGATGTTGGACAGGGAAGTGAATATCCCTGTTGATCTGATGTATGCCCCACCCCAGAGAGACCCGGCTGTTGACCTTGAGGGCTACATAGTGAATTTGGAGAAGGTCATCCAGTCAGCTCATGAGACAGCCCGGAGACGTCTCCGGACCTCAGAGGAGCGAATGAAGAGGGATTATGACTTGTAGGTCTGTGCCAGAACTTACAATGAAGGTGACCTAGTTTACGTTCTTGACACGGCTACTGTCAAGGGGAAATGCAGGAAGTTGAGCCCTTCCTGGAAGGGACCAGGTATTATCTTGAAAAAGTTAAGTTCCCACCTTTACCGAGTAAAGACCAAGCTCACAGTGATGGTTGTCAACCATGATCGCCTGAAAAAGTGTGTAGATCGGGACATACAGTTATGGCTGTCCCGGTATCAAGAGAAGTTCAGAGCCCAGTCCCAGGAAGGTAGTGAGTTAAGCAGTGCTCCATTGTCCCCGGGGGAGAAAGCTCCCTCGAGTGAGGTCCCTGGACCTTCTCAATTGAGCTCACCCTCAGACAGCCCTCCATGTGTACCGAGAAAACGGGGGCGCCCACGTAAAGTGCGGTCGCCCTCTACCGAGTCCGCTAAGTTGTCAGATGGGGATCTGACGGACTCTGAGCTCTATTGTTTCTGTCGTAGACCGGACGATGGGGGGGGGGGGCTAATGATTCAATGCGACCAGTGTAACAGTTGGTTCCACGGGATTTGTGTGGGGGTCACTTCAGGGGATTTGTGTGGGGGTCACTTCAGAGGAGTCTTCCTCCCTGGATCAGTATATCTGCCCAGATTGTATGGGGGAACCACGGGTGGCTAACATTGGTGTTGTTCTGGAGCCCCCATCTTGGCACAGGGTAAGGCGGGTTACTCTGGCAGTTTTACAGGAATGGCGAGTGGGTCAGCTGGCTTTGACCCGCTCTAGCGTACCCTGCCAGGCCAGACTCTTTACCTGGGAATTATCCCGGACTCTAGGGCCTGGAAGTGTTTAATTGGGAGCGATCCCGGACCCCTTTCCCAGGAGTTATCTTGGGTGTGTTTTGTCTGGGGCTCGCCCCGGCACTAGTCGTCCCTGGGCAGTCCGCCCGGGTGGGCGTTAACAGTGCCCCATCGTTGTAGATGGTTCCGGAGCCTCCCACGCACTGTGGACTCCCGCCTTTCAAAGAAAACGGGGGGGGGGAGTGTAGTATCTGTGCGACTGTCCCGTGGTACGACCTTCTGATGATGTTACGTCAGATGGCGGGACAGTCGCTCGGACCTCTTTCAGCGCCAGGATGTCAAGCAGACCAGACGTGTTTCAGAGACGCAGTTGGTGAGTCGGCCCCGGGCCAGAACCTGCAGTGTTATCCTGTATTTGTACATAGTTGTTAATAAATATATTATAAGTACACATCCCCCGGTAGTTACTTCAATAGCTACATAATGGACCCTTAGGTTAAAAATAACTATAAAAACCGAGTTCCAAAAATAGATTCTAGATTAAAAATAGATTGTTTGATACAATGATGACATAAAACATATTATTTGACAATAATATTTCAATGTGTCATTTCCGGGGAGATAACTCTGCACTTTACAGTAAAACGTCTTTAATTTCTAAATGCGTTTAGATATAAAACATGTTAAGACATAAGTGTTTAGTTGTTAAACACAATACTATACACTTTTAGATCTAAACATGTAATAGAAGTGTTTATTTCCTAAACACAATTTTTACAGTGTATGAAAATTTAAATGAGCGGAAGAAAACGTTGAAATCAGAGATTTAAATGAAACTGTCATTTTAATAATGCACATGATTCACGTAAAACACAGAGACATTTAAATCTATTACACAATATGTGTCGATGCCAATAGTATATTTCTTTGGGATATTATGTTTTAAACAACTAAGAGTACTATAACTGAATTCTGTACGATGTTTGTCTTATTGATTTTACAATTCAGAGATTTTCATGGCATCTTCCGCAATTACATCTTAAATAGTTGAGGGTAAGTCTAAAAATTGACGATATATGGTACTATTATTTAAAAAAAAATTAAATTTTGATGAGATAAAATTAACTTTCATTTTCCCTAAAATAAATTAACATAACATTCCTAATTATCCATTCTGGCAACATTCCATCATAGGATCAATATGCAACGTAACACATATGCTCTGTATTGATAAACTGAAGAATTATGCTTTTGCAGCGAACTCAAATTGTGAATATATGGAAGTATTATTAATTCCTGCGGAAAGAAAAAATGGAAAGCTGTAACGCTCAAGTTCTGCTGAGTCGGTACGAGAGAGCGACATTTTTGACCAGTCATTATCACAAACTAGCATTGCACATCTTTCTCTGTGGACTCGGTCCACGTGAAATGACGTTACTATTGATACTATTGCAGGATGTACGCTCTAACGGTAAATTTTCCTCCAGAAACTTGTCAGCAGATAATCAAGAAAATCATTTAAAGGCATGGATGCTACATATAGTCATCAATTTCCCAAATGTATACCATTTTATATCTGCAATATACAATTATAACTCTAGAACTTCAAAAATATATAAAGAGCTTGCTTACAAACTTTTCAATGTCTGTGAAAATATAAGCGATTTCTTCTTAGTACCACTTGTGGTGTACAGAACTGACGCCTCAGAAAGAAGAAAAATACAATCGTATTTTGAAGACATGAAGATATGTTTACAAGCAATGATTTTTCATGATCCTGTGCAACATCTTAAGAAGCTTTCACAAGAAATGAGAGAAAAAATTTACAATAACCTCTCTAAAATAGGAAATCAAAAGGAACCCCGGTATATCCGAGCATTATGCGACAAATACGTTGTCTTACAAGCACTGACATTGGATGCACTTACAAATAAAACCAACGAAATCAGCCCTGATGATCAACTGTTTGAGAATATAGAATTAATCATATCAATGACGTCTTGTCCGGACCTTTCTAGATGTCTGTTGAACGGTAGGAGAGCGGTCGTCTTGTCATTCGCAAGAAGAAAAGATGATGGAGAGGGGGTTGTGTTACAAGCATTAACAGATGCTGCTAATGTGGTTGGCTGCTTAGAAATCGTGGACATGCATTATAAAATAGTCTTGTCCCGGAGGGCCTGGTTTGAAAAATTTCCACAAACTGAATTGAATTCGATATACGAGCACCTGCAAACTGCTTTGCTCATTCTTCAAAATGAACCTGACGACGTCCGGATGCACTGGACGAGGCAATTCGTATTCCGACTCCTGTGTTGTCTCTTGGGATTAGGCATGCGCTGTCGTTTTCTTCCCAATTTTCACCTACCAGAGCGTGTTTTGCAAGAAGCGGAGCGTTTACTTAAAGAGTATGGAATGAAAGAGGCAGAAGGCCGAGTGCAAATGTTTTATTTTATTCTCAAATCTCGATTGCACCAATTAAAAAATGAGAGTAATTTGGCCATAGAGTACATAGAAAAGGCCGAGACACTTGCGAAAATTGGGCAATATAATGAACTAGAAGTCATTGTGGAAGCAAGAAAACTTCTTTACTTAAGAGATGCTCCATCTTTATCAATTGACACCGAAACAACTGATAGTTTCCAAGGTGAATGTGCTAAACTGACACTTGATCTACCACCTTTGTACCATCTTCCGTACAGTGTTGATTTCAGCAATTATGTGTCCTTGACAAATTCTAGCCCAGAACCAAGTTATCAAGAGTCCAACTCGAGCACTGAATGAAGTTTTTTGTTACCCGATATAAATACATCTATATGTACATCTGCCTTATATCATCAACAAAAGGTGTTAAAGTAAACATTGACGAGACACTGAATAGTTTCTTCAATGAACTGCTGTTATGATTTGGCCTGTGGATATTTGCCTGGGTTACTCAGTTGACAGAGTACCTGAGTGGTGATGCAGGGGTCCAGGGTTTGATTCCTGGTCCAGCCATACATTTTCTCCTTTTCTGTTTCAGAACAAATATCTTGCAGATATTGAAGTATTTGTATGTTTTTACAGATGAGAAAAATGTGTGTCAGAAGAAAAAGCAAGTCTCTGTATCTGACACTTTATAATACCTTTAATTTGCATTTTTTTCTTGTTATTTTACAGAACTTTGCAATAACTTTATTTATTCTAAACTGAACTGTGATCATAATGTCTATTATAGTTATGGAATTAAAAAAAGAGAAATTATCTCAATTTTTTGCTCCTGTCCGCAACATCTTGAAGAAAAATCATATGAGCATTCTTAAACTTTTACATATTATAATTTAAACAAAATTCAACTTTAATTTCTTTAATATTTTATTTATAATTTGTTCTTATAAATCCTAGACAGACACACCTTTAAGGTCAATGAAGATATATGTGACATGGACGGAATAAAAATGTATTCAACACAACTCAGTAGCAATGATTTTCATGTTCTACTGATTCAAGCAAGTTTAAAATGTCAAAATATATATAAATGTATCACAGATATAATTAACACTAGAGATTCACGAGTGGTCAGTGTCCAGAATACTGTGAACGTCCTCTGGGTCGTTCAGACCTCTCTGGTTTTTCACTGATTCCTGCTCCAGAGGGGGCAGGAGTTCTTTCTGGTCTTTCTCTTTCTTTCTGATATTCCATTTCTATTTTAGCATCAATCTTCTCCCAGTCGATCTCAATCTATAAAAGAGTGAAGGCAAAAATGTTAGGTCACACACATTAGTTCTTTGTTAATCCAATCAAAGAGTGAAGGCAAAAATGTTATGTCACTTACATTAGTTCTTTTATAATCCAATCAAATAATGCATTATAAATTTAAATATGAGATGTTTGAGAGACACTTATCCCCCCCCCACCCCCGACATTCATTATAGGGTGCACAAGCCTTTATTTTGGGTAGTATACTTAGGGACAGTGTACATGGAAATGATATTGACCTTTTGAACATAAGAACCCTCTCTACACTGCACAGTAAAGAGTTCTGATTCTATGGTATTTTTCTGCAGTTAGAGTGATCTGCCCTTAAATCTTAATTCCAAAAAATTGAAATATACAGTGTATTACTCAATTTATAATCGGTTCAAGCATTCATAACATTTTAAATAGCCAAGATAAATTACTTGAACACTTTCTTCACATGTATTTTCTCCACGGAAGTAAACAATAGTGATTTCTGTTCATTAAAACTTGATTGTCTTTGAACATTTTTCCTGGAGGTAAATGCCATGTACATGTACCATATAGTGAAAATTAAACTGATAAGCTCAATATTTACACCTTTATTCAATATAATTTTCTCAATGTCCAAAAAAAATTTTGCACAGGTGTATAGAGGGTCCTTAAAATCAATAGGGGTCAACTACAAGTACTATCTGAGATGCATCAACCAGAAGTCTTCTACATCACATCTTTGGCAGAAACAGGTTTCTCATGATATATCAGTAAATAATTTGTTCAACCTTTGCAGAGATGATGAACGGAAACTGCAAATAATTGGAATTTTTGTAAGTCCAAGGGGCGTAACTCTGTAAAAAATTGCTCGATTGTACCTAAAAGAGAACCTGACCTAGATATTCTTATGATAAATCTGCATACCAAATTTCATTTCAGTACGTGCAATCTCAGCAAAGAAGATGAATGAAACTGTTGGTGGACCGACAAACAAGCAGACCGACCGACCGACACAGCAGCAAAGCAAAATGCCCTCCCTTCTTCAAAGGGGGGCACAATTAATGCTAATTGCAAATAAAAGGTCATTATGTTTCACTTCTACAAGATAAACTAAAAAATATGAATTACCCCTTCACTGTACTGTAGGAAGCGTTTGTTTTTCTCCTTCTTCTCAAACCTCTCCAGGTACCTCTGTCTATATCCCAGTACCGTGTCTACATGTGTCTTATGTTTAACTGCCAGCTCTAGGGCCCTGTAATCAAAACATCATTGATTATAACACACTGTGTCTACATGTGTCTTATGTTACTGCCAGCTCTAGGGCCCTGTAATCAAAACATCATTGATTATAACACACTGTGTCTACATGTGTCTTATGTTACTGCCAGCTCTAGGGCCCAGTAATCAAAACATCATTGATTATAACACACTGTGTCTACATGTGTCTTATGTTTAACTGCCAGCTCTAGGGCCCTGTAATCAAAACATCATTGATTATAACACACTGTGTCTACATGTGTCTTATGTTACTGCCAGCTCTAGGGCCCAGTAATCAAAACATCATTGATTATAACACACTGTGTCTACATGTGTCTTATGTTACTGCCAGCTCTAGTGCCCAGTAATCAAAACATCATTGATTATAACACACTGTGTCTACATGTGTCTTATGTTACTGCCAGTTCTAGGGACCAGTAATCAAAACATCACTGATTATAACACACTGTGTCTACATGTGTCTTATGTTACTGCCAGCTCTAGGGCCCTGTAATCAAAACATCATTGATTATAACACACTGTGTCTACATGTGTCTTATGTTACTGCCAGCTCTAGGGCCCAGTAATCAAAATATCACTGATTATAACACACTGTGTCTACATGTGTCTTATGTTACTGCCAGCTCTAGGGCCCAGTAATCAAAACATCATTGATTATAACACACTGTGTCTACATGTGTCTTATGTTACTGCCAGTTCTAGGGCCCAGTAATCAAAACATCACTGATTATAACACACTGTGTCTACAGGTGTCTTATGTTTCACAGGCAAGCTCTAGGGCCCTGAAATACTGTAAACCAACTTTTATTCGCATGTGAGAAATATCCGCGAGTTTCGTGACCTACATTATCTCGTAAATATTAATCGCGGCAAACCATTTACAGCTAAACTTCGAAATCTCGAACACGGAATCTCGAATACCCCGGATATGTCGAAGTAAGGCCGTGGTCCCGACGAAATTTGCTTTATAAACGATTAAAATAAACCCCTCTATGTCGAACACGGTAATGTCGAATACCCTGGTTATCTCGAAGTAAAATTGTGTACCCATTCATTAAAATTACATGCGTTATCTCGAAGTCAGGATAATTTTCCGCTCTAATGATCAAGTCCGTTAGGTAAACTGAATGCTCTATTGATAACACCAACCTGTCTGTCACGCTCGGGTTACCTGTGTTCCTGGGATCAACAGATAATAGCGCGATAATTATGCGAAGTGTATGTATGGCTTACCTTGATTGTAATTATGCAAGCCAAAGGTTGTGTGTATTAGTCTAATGCATACGCGTGGATGACACGTTCATTGTTTTGTGGCTTGGGTACGTTTATCTTGACAATTAATCGCAATTTAATGCTATGTGAAATATGCGCGCATACATAGTTTATGCATATGGAAGTGAAAATTATAAACATCGCAGTAAAACAAAATTCTGTAATTTAATGCAATTAGAATTTATTTTCCCTATATGAGCGTGCAGAAATTACAATCGTCCGTACACACCATCATGTGAGCATGTGTCGTAGTAAAAACTTGTGCTGTAGTGCCCTGTGATTCAGTGTTGTTCTGTTGTTAGACAAAAGTGCGTGATTTTTCTTTTGTGTTTGATTTTATTATGGTAAAATAATTTTCTTTTAACTGATTTTACATGTATGAACATGTTTTTCCAATAAAAGAAATGTATATTTCGTTTTCGTTATTCTGACAGCGACCGGTTTTAAATTTACAATGCATAGACGATATCCGGTTATGTATACATGGGAAACGATGCTAGCGGTTGACTTTCCGCGTTGGATTATACTTCTGTGCATATTATACAAAGCTTTTATTTTGTGAATTATAAAGAGGATGTAAAATGTTTTGATTGCTGAATACATGTACATGTATATTAAAGAAATCTTATACAGAATTTCAAACAAGAAGTATTTCGATGTTTTTACTATTAAGTACATGTTCACTGCACTAAGTTTATTTGAAGTTCATTTGAATTACAACCCTCGATATGTCGAACCCTCGGATATCTCGAAGTTTATCAACGGTCCCGTCAACTTCGAGATAACGAAGTTTAACTGTATTTTGTTTTGTATTTGTAGAGAATGTTTCTTCAGTCATGAAAATTAATCATTGTGGATTGATTTCAAACTGACGAATCGCGAATGAAAGATGACGTGAATAATAGTTGGTTTACAGTAATCAGAACATCACTGAGTGTTTCACACACATCTAAAATGTATGATTTACAACTTTGTGGCACACAAATTTAGAAATATGTAATTGGTAATATAGCATAAAGTACTTATTACTTAGGTAGAACTACATATACAATTATTGAGAGTTTAAGGAAATTGCAAAACTTTATTTTAAGAGATGGAAAAAAAAGTTCCTTCCATCTAAAAGAAGCTTAATCTTTAGTGTCATTTTTGATTTTCTGTATCCAGCCAAGTTGTAAAGTTGCACTCAACCTTTCTTTTCACTGGTTATTACCTGTCCCAGTTGTAACATCCTACATAGCATATTATGCACATTTTTTCTGTACACTTGTGTTTACCTGTCCCAGTTATAGAGTTGTACACAACATGTTATGTAACCTATTTTTTTGTACACTTTTTTGTACTCGTAATAGGTTTACCTGTCCCAGTTGTAGAGCTGTATGTTTAACATGATGGCCCTGAAGATAAGTCCTGCCGTCAGTAGAATAGACTCCGCGTCCTGGGGACTGCCACATAAGAGGGCCATCTCGGCATTACGAGCCTCTTTGATTGGGATGTCCTTAATGTTCACTATAAACTGCACCTTCTCTGCCTGCACAAATATACAACACAAAACTAAACCACCCCTGAAAATATATACATATAACAGAAATGTTCTGGATATTTTATATTTCTTGAACTTTGATTTTTGCATTAGGGCAGCAGTGACCCATTCATGAAGGAATAATTCAATATCTTTATATTTTTTACATTTTATATTACACAATGGACTTAAACAAGAGGCCCATGGGCCACATTGCTCACCTGAGTAACTTTGGCCATGCTGTTCTTTACCAGATTTCCCCCCTTTTAATATACCTATTGTGGCCCCGTCCTACCCCCGGGGGCCATGATTTGAACAATTTCAAATCTACACTACCTCAGGATGCTTTCAAATAAGTTTCAGCTTTATTGGTCCAGTGGTTCTTCAAAAGAAGATTTTTAAAGATTTTTTTTATATATTTCAATGTAAAACTTGGATTCCCTATTGTGTTCCGCCCTACCCCCAGGGGTCATGATTTGAACAATTTAGAATCTACACTACCCCAGGATGCTTCCATATAAGTTTCAGCTTTTCTGGCCCCGTCGTTCTTGAGAAGAAGATTTTAAAAGATTTTTCTTATACATTTCAATGTAAAACTTGGATTCCCTATTGTGGCTCCGCCCTACCCCCAGGGGTCATGATTTGAACAATTTAGAATCTACACTACCCCAGGATGCTTCCATATAAGTTTCAGCTTTTCTGGCCCAGTTGTTCTTGAGAAGAAGATTTTTAAAGATTTTCCTGTGTATTTCAATGTAAAACTTGGATTCCCTGTTGTGGCCCTGCCCTACCCCCAGGGGTCATGATTTGAACAATTTAGAATCTACACTACCCCAGGATGCTTCCATATAAGATTCAGTATTTCTGGCCCAGTGGTTCTTTCAAAGATTTTCCTGTATAGTTCAATGTAAACTTGGATTCCCTGTTGTGGCCCTGCCCTACGCCCAGGGGTCATGATTTGAATAATTTAGATTCTATACTACCCCAGGATGCTTCCATATAAGTTTCAGCTTTTCTGGCCCAGTGGTTCTTGAGAAGAAGATTTTAAAAGATTTTTCTTATATATTTCAATGTAAAACTTGGATTCCCTATTGTGGCCCCGCCCTACCCCCAGGGGTCATGATTTGAACAATTTAGAATCTACACTATCCCAGGATGCTTCCACATAAGTTTCAGCTTTTCTGGCCCAGTGGTTCTTGAGAAGATGATTTTTTAATGACCCCACCCTATTTTTGTCTTTTCTTGATTATCTCCCCTTGTAAGGGGACTTGGCCCTTTATTTTAATAATTTATACTCCCCTTCACCCAAGGATACTTTGTACCAAGTTTGGTTAAAATTGGCCCAGTGGTTCTTGAGAAGAAGTTGAAAATATGAAAAGTTTACAGACGGACGGACGACGGACAACGGGTGATCAGAAAAGCGCTCTTGAGCTTTCAGCTCAGGTGAGCTAATAAATAATTACCTCCTTGATGGCTGCATAAGCAATTTCTGCTGTGTTCAGTTCCTTAGCATAAGCTGACATGGCAGCCAAGCAACACCACAAAACATCATCCTGTTCAGATATAACCACATTATAAACATAAACACAATACATCTTATTCAGAGGTTTAACTCCATTACACACTGAATAAAGCCAAAAAACATCATCCTATTCAAAGATTTAACCACAACCCGCATATGAAATGGGGATTTGAACATGGTATGATGTACAAACACCATATAAAGTATTGTAAAGGGTATATAATTTATGTTTTAATTGCAATTTTTTTGCCAATATAACCATGTGCATTTAGATTGGATTGAAACAAGAAATGATAGTAAAATTTCTTAAATAAACAGTACTTTCAGTAAATACCTTAACAAATCGACACAGTCTTACGGCATCATCCCAGCGCGAGTTTTGGACATAACTATGTAGAATTGCTGGGTACGGGGAGATTCCCGTACCGACCAGAGAACCCTCGGCTCGACGGATGATAATGTGGTTACCAATAAAATTCAACAACTGCGGGTTCTTACCAAACTCACTAAAATCAAATCATATATGGAATATTAAGATCTGGAATCAAACAAATTATTGCTAAAGGTATAAATCTGAAAAAATTAATATCAGTTTTTCTGTCCTTCTTGATAGAAAATGGTTCAATGACAAATTTAACAATATCCTGCATACTACTCATATGTGTCTATCATTAATATATCAAAAATACTGATTAACAATTTTGAAAGCTTACTGAAATAAATATTGTATGTGTATATCATTAATATATCAAAAATTCTGATTAACAATTTTGAGAGCTTACTGAAATAAACATGCAAATTATTTCTACTCTCTAATAAAATAAATGTAAAAATCATGCAAAGCCTTTTTCGAACATGTCCTTTGTATATAAATGTCAACAAATTTTATAAAGATTTTGATGGAAGACACAGAAATGATTGCTAAAAAAAATTCAATAAAACTATCAGATAACCCACTTCTTTTGAGCATAAATTTTACAAATAAAATATGAAAATGTGTATTCTACATGTAAATCATAATATCCATGTAAGAAATCCCTAAAAGAGAATTAAATGAAACAGAAGGCTGTTTCCAGTAACCATGTGCCATACAAAGATATAGAATCAAAGTATTTGAGGCAGTTGGTGAATGATAACAGGGATAGACATTAACTTTCAGATTCACTTGCGCTTCGGGCAAGTGATCTCAAACTTTGACTTGTCCGAATGGAAAACTTGGTTGCCCAAAATTAGGATAGAAGTTAAGAAAAAAATTATTAATTACTGTAAATGTTATGGAAAGAAAAAAAAATGTGACGAAATACACTACTGTCAATTTGGCATTTTGAGATGCCTAAAAAAATTGTACAAAAACGTATATCGCTGTAAATATAACCTGTTAACACACACTACCATACAGCAATAACCCTCCGTTTCCTTTTAATAAAATTCATATTTTTGAAAATTATTTGCGGTAGGATCATTTTGCGATTCGTGATTCTCAGAGATAACTGTGAAGCAACGCTGAAGGAAGATAGTTGCTACGAAACATACTTAGTACCTCTTATCTTGATCAGGATACATCGTGTTACAACGTACTTATATTCTGTGCGTGAATAAATAAATAAATAAGAAGTTAACAAAATTTGTTAGACGTAGAGCGTATTTACTACGAAAGAAAATAACGAACTCGATTTTTTAAATGAACGGTATAATCCAGAAACGCTACCAAGAAATTTCGATTGAAAACATTGTCAGTCAGGTGTGTGGGGGGAATCAAGTGTTCAATCTATTGTTTTATTTATAAATTAATGTAAACTAAATATGTACATTTGTATGAGAAAAATTCACTTGCCCGATCGGATAAGTATGTCGACAATTTCACTTGCCCGAACTAAGAATTTACTTGTCCCGGGCAATCGGACAACCGTTAATGTCGATCCCTGGATAATGTACCACATCCAAGAAATAATATTAATACATATCGTATTGCACAAAATCTCCCCTACATACATGTATAAATAAAGAGCAGCTAAACACTAATATACATGTAATAGTGATGTGTATATGTCTTACCTTTTACTAATGAACAGCAAATTCAAATGTTAACAATATAAGAGTTAGAGACATTTAAGTCACATGTACATGTAACCAGATTACATTTAGGTCACATGTACATGTAACCAGATTACATAATCATAATATTTCTATAAAACATAGATATTCTAAGATTACATAGCTCACCTCAACAAATGCTATCTTCAAGTAAGGCAAAGTCTCACACTTAACAACTATTCTGGCCATTTCTGGGTAACCATCCCTAAAATGCAACATTTATACAAGTCTGGTCGAAGTTGGATTTTTCGGTATTTGGTAATGGACTTGCTTAAAATCATTTTCTGTTGGATGTATCATCCATGCAAGTTTGTTCACCATAGAGCTTAAGGTTACTCTGGAATGAACCTGCTCCAAAAACTTTAACCTGGTCACTTATCGAGAAAATGTAGGTCAGATCCAGCATCTGAAGCATGATGGCATAGAAGTACTTGGAAAGAAATCTGCTCTAAAAACTTTAACCTGAGACGCAGAGGGTATTACATAAACACTCCCTACATTGTTGAGGTGAGATAATTTAAAAAAAACTGCAGATTCACATTAATTTTTTTGAAAACTGAGATATTTGTACCTTGCTTCCTTTTCAAACACCGTTCTGCTGGCTAAGTCCCGGTCTACATAAATTGTATTGGGGTAATACCAAACTGTAAACTTGCCATCAGCCAGTGCGGCTAACATGTTGGCAGAGTCATTCCAACACAGGGACTGGATCATGTTTCCTGTAATAAATCACCCTGACTTTAAACAATAAATCATCAAAAGAAATAACATGAGAATGTCACATTGCTGAAGTATTGGCATTTTACCATGAATAAAAATGTTGCATATGTGGGTAACTGAAAGTAAGAATTCTAAACCACACATTTTTGAATTTTTCCCATGTGAAAGTCCACAGAATAGTAATTTGACTTCTCTTATTTTTTAAAGCTGCTAAATAAGAAATACCCCATCACTTGTCTACTAAGTGTAAATTGTTCATGCTTACCTAATTTATTGGACTTTCTCTCTGTACCAAACACTCGGACTGATGTCAGATAGAGATCTCTGTTTTTGTCTATGATGGCCAATCTCCTCTCAGTGGCAGGACCACACTGGTCTAAAGCTATTTCCATCACCTCTAGCTGAAGAAATCAAATAAGGATTTCATCTTAGTAAAAAATTACATTTCTGGCATCATACTAACTTTTAAAGATTTTTATAAAATAAAGTAACCCCCACCCCCTCCAAAAAAATCCTTACCTTGTGTGTAATGGGTTTTCCATCTCCAAGTGGTTTTCCATTTTGTGCATCAAAGACATATATTACTATAAAAATTTGTAAAAGAAAAAAAACAAAAATCTCAAGTATACTTTGTACAACAAGTAAAAGAAATTTAAGATACAAAACAAAACTAACACATTAAATTGATCATGCCATCATGGCAAAAATCTTCAGTTCATAAACCAATTTACAGAAATCCCATCCATCTGTACACTTGCACATGTAACTTTTTAGCTCATTTAATGATTTTTTTTTTAATGAGGAATTTTAAATAATTTATACACTCATTTAAAAAAAAGTCATATTTTCAATGAGTACATTGCAGTACCTTTTTCCTCTGTTTTATCTCTGATTGCCACTGTATCATTGCTGAGAGAAACTGTCTGATAATTCAAAATGTCTGCCCTCATGCCAGGATATTTGGGAGAACAAACCATTCGACCATCGTACGAGTAGATGTAAACATTGGAGCTATCTACCAGCATGAAGTGCCTAAAAATTACACATTTCAATAGTTTTCAATCAGTAAATTGTACAAATCTCTTAATTCATAACTCTTAAATAAATAAATAGCTGTTTGAACTGTATTTCATATCATCTTTTTCTAAGTTAAAGATTTGTGTTAAATGAAGATGTTTGTCCATCAATAAACAATTCAAAAAAAAATTACTTCTCTGCCTGAAGAATCAATGATATGTTTCCTTCCTTCATATCAAATATCATAGGGGTATTCCAATTCTTGGTACTGAAAAGTTAAAATAAAATTACGAATGTATACCAGTTTAGTGGTTACAATATATACACATTTACCAACATTCACGAACACTCGGTACAATACAAGAGAAAAATTCACTGACTTGTAGATGTAACACTGCGATGCTGTGGCTACTACAAGATGATTGAAACATAAAGAGACTTTGATAACCCTGTCTCTAAAGTCCAGTTTTTCTACAGCTTCATTCATAACATTCCTGACATGGATTTGTTTGCTTCCTACAACCACTGCCTCATAATTTTTCCACTCCAATCTCCTGTAAATAAAAACAAGAGGTGTCAATGAATAACATATTATAATGCAAAATAAAAAAATATTCTGACTAAACACTACTAGAAATAGGTTGATATGTAGGCAGGGATTTGAATACCAGTGCTTACTTTTCAATGACATGCGCTATCAGCACCTGGCCGTTTCCACAAGCACCTGCCACCTGTGTACCATCACTGGACCAAGCCAGCTTGAACAGGCTACCTGTGTTTGGTTTCTCCAGAGAATAGGACCACTAGTAAAGAAATACAAATCTGTGATAAAATTTACAATATTCATTTAAAATAAATCATTTACAGGTATTGTGTGGATATCTTACCCCTGCCTGATCACAGAGTCGGAGTGTGTTAAATGATCCAACAGCAAACAGCTCTCCATTAGGTGTCCAAGCTACTGAAGTAATGGGATAATCATGGACGGAACTGCTGTACATAATACGACCATAGGTGTCCCATACCTGAACAATAAAATAAGTTTAAAAAATTTAAGGTTGGACTTTACAAAAATATTAAGCATGATAAACTTTGATCTTTGTTTTTACATTTCTACCATTTGCATGATTGTTGTGCAGAAGCAGGAATAATTTTTCTGAAAATGAGTAGATACATCCATTACTGACAAACCTTGTAACGACAATCTTCTGCCCCAGAGAGAATGAGATTATTAACAGGGTTCCAGTCAACATTCAGTATGACACCATCATGGGCTTTCCACTGAAAACAAATCATTAAAACTGAATACCCAGAACAGAGATAAAATATAGACATATTTTTTTAACAAATATTTCACAATATTTTGATATTCAATGTTTACAATGCATGCTGCATAGAAGCAGCTTTTTGATAATTCACACACAAGCATAGATGATAAATACAAACTGTTTACAAACTTACCATTGTTGGTTTGGCATTTGCCTGCAGTGACTTTATCACCAGTTGTCTGCCATTTGTAAACAAAACCTGGTCTGAATCTGGTCCCCAAGCCACACCATAAACTGTGTTACCTACAAGTCACAGGGAGATTTACAGATCTTGGGCCACTTTTACAGAGGAACTTCAGACTTCGACCAAAATATGTCAGTCAAAAGCTCTACAGAGCTTATGTTATTTGTTTGAAAATCCGACTTTAAATAAAATTTCCTGAAAATATAATTTTTCAAATCATTTATTTCTTTACATTCATTTGAAATGGTATATAATCTAATTTTTTGAGAATTTGGATTGATATTTTGAGCAATTTTTCAGTGAAATACTAGGTAGGCAAGATGTTAGAAACAGCCAAAATTGTTCATAGTCAAAGTGCTTAAAATGGGCCCTTGTTGCTTTAACTTCTGTGTATGCATTTTGATCTTATACATACACTGAACATGTGTGTGTATTCACGCATACACTGCCATATCTGACTAGTTCTGTCATTAATATTTTACTTACTGTTTTGTGTCAGTGTGGATCTCAACATTCCACTTCTGGACCAGATTTTTACTTGTCCATCTTCACCAGCTAACAAAGAAAAATAACTTATGCATCTCAAAATGACATCTGTATTTCTATATTGATATTAGAACACTTTACAATATCTACTTTGGAATCATCATTTCCTGGGTAACCAATGTTCATTGATTTAAATCCCCATTAATGATAACTCTGTCAGTGTATCAGCTAACTGAATCATCTGTAAATACATTGAGTTACCCACAAAATGAAGTCCCCATGAATCACTAAAGTTTTGATTGCCAACCAACACTGACCCATACAAATTCCAACCAACACTGACCCATACAAATTAAAATGATTCTACAGTAAACACAAATTACAGTGGTCTTTACATTTCCAGTACATATAAAACATTGCTCTCATTTTTACATTAAAAAAAAAAAAAAATTAAACGTGTACTGACTTCTTTATAAAAAACACACTCTGAAATTCATCAGCTAATACCAGGTACATGTATGTGGAGTACTTGTTAAGAACTTTTTTGCAAAGGATGACTGCACTTAACGCCTGTTTTTGGGTCTTTTTCGTTGCTTCTGTTGCTTTTATATCTAAACTTTATTTCACTTTTGTATGTTTATGAAAGAATCCTGTCAATTTGAAACCAAATTTAAATCTTAAAATGATTTTAGACTGTGATACAATAAAATGATTCAATGTTTTTTGTCCTTAGTGTTTTCCAAATATAGTGAATTTACAGTTAACTGCCCTTGATTGAACATTAGATATGCATGAGAGGTGGAGCTAACATTGTAAATATGGGTCTTAAATTAGACTTGATAAATAACAATGACATGTTTGAAAAAAAGAACATGATCACTCTTTCCAATCTTCCTCTCCATTCTGAATGGCACAAATACACTTCTGACAAAGGTTTCAAAACGAAACTAACAATATGAGCACGTCAATGTAATTTAAGCAGATTGTACATCAATGCCAGATGACTTAACGTGTTCGAACACAATGTCCCAGTTAGCACAAAACATGCTACCTTACAAGTCACGTGACGGAATTTGGTATTCACAAAGTTACCCGAGGTAGGACATCACGTGGTGAATTATAATATTCAACATGTCACAATCCTTGGTTACAACACAGAGAGCGAGTGTAAGAAGAGGCCGATTTTTCTCTTTTTAACCATGAGCGCATGTTTGTCTATTAATCTCCTTTTGACACATTATTATTTATGCAAATATACAACTACTGTGAAACGGAGAACAATAGACAAACATGCGCTGACTATGTATAAAGTCAGTAAAAAAGTGGGCGTCCTCATTATCGTACGGAGATTCAAGAAATTGTGATGACCCCTGCCTTTGAAAACAGATTCAAACTTCGTAAATACACACTTTTATGAAACGTAATTACATAAAGTTGTAGATTGGATGTTGACCATTCTTGCAATGAAAAGGAAAATGCTTGTTTTGAAAGTTTATTTTGGCGCAAATTTCGCATGTCCTTAAGTGCAGTCATCCTTTAATTGTAACTTGAGCAGAACCATCCCTGGTTCAATGACCAGACAAAAGGCTCCTTTATTGGAATCTACATATCTGTAACTAGAGTAGACCCATCCCAGCTCCAGCAACCAGACAAAAGGGCCCCTTTATGGGCATCTCCATACCTGTCACAAGAGCGGAACCGTCCCAGCTCCAGCGTCCAGACAAAACAGCTCCTTTGTGGGCATCTACACTTTTTTCTACTCGTCCTGATTTGCTGATCAAATGGAACTTTCCTTCACAGAAATTTTTGAAACATTAAAACACTGTTTATTTTATCAATATGAGAATTAAGACTGAGATTCATTTATGTACTACATAGAAAAGAGACTAAAATAACCAAAAATATTAACTGTGCTGTGAGTATAGCCTGGTATAAGATTGTGATAGGGTAACTGAGACAGTATTGTGATTTATACCATCAGTGGATGTTAGAACGAAGAGATCTGATCCCTTTTTGCCTGCCCCTCCTCCACCAGCAGATTTTGGAAACCAATGCATGTCTGTGGGGAATACATCATCTGGTAATTTGACTAGTGTTGTTGTCTCGTTAGAATTCAGATTCCATTTGAGAACCAGATGATCATCTGCTCCTGAGTAACATTCCTCTGGTGTTGTCCACCCAACACAGCTTACAAGTTCTGAATGTGTTCTTTGTTAAGGAATGATATGCTAGTTTTTTTGGCACAATGACATGTAACTGGTTTCCTCTCTTTCTTGATAATGAATACGATAAGACAAACTGAAATTTTGTCTTTGTGCAAAATTTAAATGCATCAGACTGGAATGATGAAATGCTGCACTTCCATTGGTTGAAGCTGTAAAGTGCAGCATAAAGGTCCCTATATAGTATATACAGGATATAGGGTTAATGAATAAAGAATTTGTCAACACATACAAAGATCAACAAATGCCGAAAGAGAATAGCATATTTTCTTCCCTTGTGAACACTGAACACAGCAATTACATATATATTTCAGCATTATTATTATCATCTTATGCCTTGGCACCGTCATTGGAGTCCTTAAAGTCCCATTTGGACACATACACTAGGTGCCAGCCGACCAGTACCACCTACTAAGTGTGCTATTTTGTAACCTTTTATTGTTAACATAGTGCCCAACTTGGGTTTTTAAGCCTTGTTGGAAGAGCTGTGTGCTACCCAATTATAACAATCTATAAACAGTTAAATTCGTACACAAGAAAAAGTAGACATCTTCACAAATCAGACTGTAGTCAAACTGGTCTGGTATCATGAATAAAAGGAATTTGTACAACTGTCCTTCCACTGAAAAAAAAAGAAAATCTTGCAAACTATTTTACCACAGGATTGTATGACTGCCTTCTAAATTTAAAAAATATATATATTTAAAAAAATATAAACTTTCTATTAGCTATGATAAATCACTTGTACAAAAAAGGATATGCTTAGGTTCCTTCTGTAACGAAGTTTTTAATCTCATATCTTCAACAGCATGAAACACACACTACATGAAAACATTCGCCGTCTGGAATTCCGCATCTGAGCATGCGCACGAAGTAAGAATGTTGCATTGTGGGATGAGTTTCTACGGAAGCTATCACCAAATGTTTGTGATAGAGACGTAAAACTTTTACAATTTTGGTGCTATAGGTTTATTATTTAAAAAGTAACTACAAGGACATTTATTAATATGAAGTAATAGAAGCCATCTGTATTTGATTTTAATCGTAATTCACAAAGGGCTTGCTAAATCAGTGGTACGTATACATACCGAATTTCCTCAGTTATACGTAAATGTATGCGTTATTATTTATTTTGGGTATTTAAATTTTATTTAAAACTTGCATTTAATATGTTTACAACTGTCAAATATTGACTCAGCCTGTCACTGGCTTTGAATCTTAATATTATTTTTTTTTTCATTTCATATATGAAACAAAAGTCTGATAAAGATAGGCCTGTATACGTGTAATGTACGTGTACGTGCTTACGATATCTTATATTTATCTTTTTTTATATCCAGAAGGTTAAGAGAGCATTCTAATGTAGTAAAGATGTCAGAATCTGGAAGTGAAACAAAAAGTCCAGACACAAAAAGTGTTGCAAGTAAGACATCTATAAATGTCAAGATTCCATCAGCTGCAAGTAAAAGAGGTGGCACTCCAACAAAGAGCCCTGGACTGGAATTGCCAGATGAGATTGGAAGCAGAGCTTTAACCACCACCCCTGTTAGCTCAAAAGATTATCTTGCTGGGACTAGGCCAAATATAAATCAGAATACCAGCAAAGGTCTACGTCAGCCTCAGAAATCGGAAAGAGAGTAAGATTTACAATAGCACCTCCTATTCTTGAACTCAAGAAGACCATTATAAAACTTTGAAATATCTGAGGATTTGAGATATCAAGATTAAAATACATAAAGAAAAAGTAATTGGGACTTCCAGTTAACATTTATGTACTTGTATCCATTGTATTCAAGATATCGATGTTTGAGATACATATGTTCAACTGTATTTGTTTAAATTCTGATTCATTAGGTTGTTTGAAAAGATATTTAACAATCAAAGTATAACAATTTGTATTACTTTTGTCAATATTAATTAGAAATGATAGTTATGTGTTCCTAGCATTTCAAAATGATATGTGCTTGTATTTTTTTTTCTTTATAAAATGTGCTTGTAGAAAACTTTGTTTTCATTTCTTTCTTTTTCTGAAGACTAATTAGACAAGCAGCTGCTACAATCATTGAGAGGCAGTGGATTGCATTTAGAGATAAACAGATGTTCCGATTGTTAAAGCATGCAGTTTGTGCCGCTGTAAGTTCTGAATTCATTTAGTAAAACTCCAAAAATAATGATTAATGCAAATATGTTCAGAATAGATTGATACATCTCCTTCACAATAAGTCTTTACTCATATTTATTTATTAGGAGAATTCTCTGTCAAAAGAGATATTAAGAAAAGTATGCCCAAAAGAAGCGGAGCTCCTCAATGACAAAGTCAATCAAGTCAGAGTTAGATTTAGGTAAGTCAATCAAGTCAGAGTTAGATTCAGGTAAGTCAATCAAGTCAGAGTTAGATTTAGGTAAGTTACTCAAGTCAGAGTTAGATTACTCAAGTCAAAAAAAAAGATTCAGGTCAGTCAATCATGACAGAATTAGACTCAGGTAGGTAAATCAAGACAGAGTTAGATTCATGTATGTCCATCTGGAAATAAATTTGTATATTGTTAATGAGGTTATGGTAAAGCCTTGATATATATCTCTTATTTTATAATTTGACAAGAAGTGATTAAAGTTCATTATTTCTTATTTGGTAATGAAATATACATGTACTAAAAATAATACAATTTGTAAGCAATATGTAATCAAAGGGTTATATATTAAGATCAGTTTATTTTATCATTGATTAGATTTGGTGGACAAGAATTCCCTCCCATGATTTTCTTCAAAATATTTATCCACACAGAAGGCAAAGGTGTAAAGTACCTCAGTGGGAGACGAGTAATTAAACCAGCGACAGAGGTAAGCTACTTAAAGCACTGAACAAGGTTTTTACTCGTATGAACACTAAAAAATGTTTGTCAATGAGCCCACATAAATTGTATTGTACTTGCCCTTTTGCAAAGGGATAAGGAATCTATCTCATATGAATGTAATAAACTGTAGAAAGTAGTGCATATAGCTGAATTTTGGCTTATTGAAAAATGACACAAATGTGTATGATAATGGTTATTATATTAAATGTACCAGGGGTACATAGATCAATCCTAATAAAGTTTCTTAAAACTGCTGACAGAATTAGAACAAAATGAAAACAAAAGCACTTTCACTATTTGATCATAAAAGGAATGTTTTAGATTTTTAACAATATAAATACATGTAATAATGATGAAAGAAAACAGTGAACAACAATATAATTTTACAGGCATCAGAAGATTCTTTGAGAAACATGGGGAACAGGAAATTCTACGATCAGATGTTACAGGATGCGATGTATAACCAGCAGTACAAAATCACGGACGAAATAGATGTCACTACGTTAAAAGATTACATGCAGGTATCTACAGTGTACAGCTAAACTGCTTTAATGTGAGGTCTACTGTTACATACAAGTTTATGAATTACGCTATCAAAAAACTAAACTGGATGTACTAGATGAATCTTAATTTTTATTATACACAATTTGCTTTCACTTTTCCATAGTTCATGTAGGCAAAGAGACTCATTATTTCATTAATGCATGTTAAACATGCTACTGTACATGTTTCTCAATATTTCAGTACCTGGCCAATGTAGATGAGGCCCCCGCTACACTGGGAGGGAAAGAAAATTACTGGAGAAAACTCACATTAGATGGTAAAATTAGACTCTTTAAAAATCTTAATTGTTACATTGTAAATGATGATCTGCAATATTAATTTATTAAATTTTATTTTCTTTCTTTGAAGTTTTGTCTAGAAGAACCATCTTTTATGATGTGATTGACTACTTGTACAATCAGAGAATCACTCCCAGGTTGAGGCAGGAAATCCCTGTCCTGGTACAGAGACCAGTATCACAGGAGATCAAAGTTCAACACATCAGGGCCATATCCACACTCAGGTTAGTACTTTCTTTGTTTGTTTAATATATACATGGAATAACAGTTGTGACAATGCAGAAAACATACATATCCTGCGTATGCTGTGTAAACCATTTGTATAAAGTATGAAAATACATAAATCATTGTATCATAAAGATGAGCCCATTTCTTAAGAAATCTTTCATACAGATGGCTTCAAAACACTAGATCTAATTAGTTTAGAGTTAATCATTTGATTGACAGAATATAAAGTTTTCAAAAGAAAGAAAGGAGAAAAATTCAGTGAATGTAAATACAAGTAAAGTCTGATTAATATTTGCATCTGTTAGGACCATATACTGATACATACTACTCCTAATATGAAACCTACAGACATTATCCACTGGTGTCTAGCAGAAAGACAAACATCTAAATCCAAAACAGTCTGTCAATTAATTAATTACTATGATTTATGGATTCTAAACTTTGCTAAATATTTGAGGATGTTTAATTTGTACAGATCAGAATCTATACCTGTGGGAGCCCCTTTAACCACACCCAAATCCAAAATGTCTGGGTATGTTAGTCACCCCGTCTCTAGTCGCCGTTCTAGACAGGCCAAGGCACGAGCCTCCAAACTCCGAAAGATGTATGGTCTTGACAGAGTGAGTATAACTCTTCATTTCTTTCTTGAGCCTATAATGTCATTATAACAAACCTTTTACTAAATTTACAATCATCTTACTATGCATGTCGTGTGATTGATTGTTTCACCTTTTTTAATAGTTTTCCTTTAAGTCATTTGATAATGTAATTTTAAAAATGAAATGAATCACTTTCTTATAGAGCACATATGATTCTAGCTCGGTAAGACTTTGTTGTTAGAATTTAGTATGATTAGATATTAGGTGTATTGTAGATGTATATTTCATACATTTGTTTGAGAAGCATTTTGTTTAAGCATGCATTTTACTGTTTATTTTTAGACCTTTTTTATCAATGATCATTTATTTGGTGTAAATTTCTACATTTGGTTATACATGTAAATCAATCATTTACAAGTTGTGTTTTAATGCATAAAGAAGGATTTTTTGTGTATACACATAGAAGATTGGATAATGAATTTATTTTTCATCTAGTTTGTTTTTTATGTAGAGAAATATACAAATATTTCGATAATCTAACCAATCATGTATTTTCAATAAACTTGCATGCTTCAGATATTTACAAAATTTTTTAATATAATTTTCCTTATCCTTTGGAAATATAATCAGTATTAACAGTATTAAAGAATTGTTATAACCCCCACCCCCCTTCACCACTTGAAAAGCAGGGGGTATATAGTGATGAGGCTGTCCGTATGTACATCCGTTCATCCTTCTATATGTCTGTAACACTTGGGGATACTCATCTCTTATCTGACTGCAACTCCTCCTATACCACTGAATAAAATTTAATGAGACTTTCACAGAATCTTCATTACTTAGTGTCATTGTGCACCTCCTATTTTTTGTTTTAATTGGAGAGAAAATTGGCATTTTCCACAGCAAAACATGGCCACTGCCATTATTTCTATAAAGTTGGTGGTAACCCATCTCTTATCTGCAGCTCCCTCTATCACCAAATAAAATTTTAATGAGACTTACACAGAATCTTTATCACATAGTTCCATTAGTTTGCCTTTCTTTCTATAATATTGAGGGGGGGATATGGGGGAATCTCTTATCTGTAACTCCTCCTACACTTTTTGATACTTTCACAGATTCCTTATTACATAGTGCCATTGCACACCATTATATTTTTACATTTTGATTGGACAGATATTTGGGGTTTCCCACAGCAAAAAATGGATTTGCCTTTAAATATACAGTTGAACTTCGGTATCTTGAACACAGATATCTTGAATACCATGGGTATGTCGAAGTAATTTTGAGGTCCCAACTACTTATTCCTCAAGTATTTTACCCTGAATATCTCGAATCCTCGGTTATCTTGAAGTATATTTTCTCAGTCCCTCCAAGTTTGAGATAATGAGATTTGACTGTACTTATAGGGGGGGGGGGGCAAAAATTGTGACAAAAATTGATTTTATTATACCCCAGACAATGAATTGCAGAGGGTATAATGTTTTTGACATATCCATCAGTCAGTCCTGTTCTAGTCAGCACAACTCTTAAACTGTTCAACAAAATTACATGAAACTTTGTAGTTAATAAGGACATACTGTGTAGATGCACACATTTGAAGTTAACTACATGTATTTGATATATTTAATGCATAGAATTGCCATTCATTATGTGTAGCATTGTCAAGCAAGTTGGAGCCAGGGTATGTGAGCTTGCTCACTTTTTTATTACAAAAAATTAAGATGAATGAAATTCTTCTCAAAGTCTTGTATAATTGCGTATTTTTTTGTATCATCTTCAAGTACATCTTCATTTATTAATGTGTACAATGTACTGTTTTTGTATTCTGATAGGAGGGGAGCAAACTCCTGGATTCCCGAGAGCCAACGGCCGTGTCTGAGGAACCTGATGATTACTTTGATAAATATGGCATCACGGGAGAGGAAGGGGAGGATCCAGAGGAGTGGGAGAGAGAAGCCAGCAAGCTGTATGAGTGGACACAGGAACTGTCATTCAATGATGACCTCATAGCCACACCCAGACTCCCTTTACAAACATGATTCATTGGACAGGTTAAAGGTTACACAGATATTGTTGTAAGAGGTGAAGCGCTGTTGGAGCACTGGAGACTTAATGTAAAGATTGTATTCAGTGGTACACTCATGCTTTCAGTGATTGTGCATTTACTACATGTATTTGTTATTGGAAATCCTTATTGAAGTTTTGTATACACTAAGTTGTTTTATATATGTATTTATGAAATATATTTCCAGTAATGAATTTTTATTATAAACTTGTTTTGACATATTAAAATTACTAAAAAGATTTTGAATTAGTTAAATTTCTCTACACGACACAAAAAGAAAGTTCACATCAAATATTTATACTCTGAACTTATCCTGATTCATATTTTGGCAATAGTCAGCTACACAAGGTCAAGGTTTTTTGATGTCTCTCCTCTAGAGGAATAAATTACCACAAACCTTGACATTGTGAAGATAGGCAGTAGTGTGTAAACTGATTCATATCTGGGTAATTATAGAGGGTTAACTGATTCATATTTTGGCAAAATATGTTAACTGATTCATATCTTGGCAAATATAGTGTGTTAACTGATTTTAGATTTTTGGAAATAGTGTGTTAACTAATTCATATTTTAGCAATAGTTTGTTAACTTATGAATACAGCCAAACTATGATCATATAACACCAATATGCATACAAATACCCATTCACTGATTGATGATAATTCCATTTTGTGACTTAGGATAATAAAACAAACTCTGGTTATGGTCAAATCTTTGCACAAAATTTTTTAATAAAGTCTGTCTATTAGCTCTTTTTCAGGCAAAAGTAAGCTACATTTTGATTTTGCTGGGCTTTTATTAGTAATATACCGCCACATGTGTTTTTGTATATGCAATTAAAAATGTACAAGATACTGCATAGCTGACTAAATTTAACTTGTATGTAGCAGAAAAGCCCACAGGCATTTGTTCCTATAATAATTTTTTTAACCTATAGTATAATAATAACACAAGGGTGTTATTGTTCTGTGGGTTAAAATAAAATTATTGCAGAAACAAGTGGTTGTGAAACAGCTTTATGTGTCGTTTTTTCTTAGAACTTCAAATCTAGGCAGAAAATTTAAAAAAAAAAAAATAGTTCACACAAAAATATATTAATCAACGTATTGGTTGCTTTTCTTTGGAGAAAAATGTATTGTGTAATGGAGGCCATTCTAATTTATTACTGTTAGATTTGTGGATTCGCCCCCTAAAAGTAACCTAACGTAAATATGTTACATTGTTACTTGAAAAAAAAAACGTACTGCAAACCAACTTATATTGGCGATTTTCTATTAGCGCTTCGTCATTTTGAAATTATTGTTAATTTTTGTGGCAAAAAAAGATGCGACATAAATTCAGAAATAAATGGTTCGCGGCGAGAAATATTCGCGAGAAAATGACAAATCTCGTGAGAATTTCTCGCACTCACGTGAAAATTTGTTTTCAATACAAAAAAAGATGTATATTGGTGTGGATTTATTTATTTTTGAGAGGGTAGGGGTGGGTGGTTGAAATTTAATTTTTCCGAACTAGAATATCAATTTGTAATTCTTAATTGCAACACTTTTTTTACCACTTCAAAATGCACACGACACATTGCATGACTTTGTAACTCAAAGGTAATTTCATGCTTTATTTGATGTCCGAAGATTTATATATAGTGTCTGGCTAGATTCTGGTAAGTCCTACCAATCACACTATATAATCTAAGGCAGCACTCAGAATTCACGATCTTTAGCATTTTTGACTGAAGGAGATCTATGACTCTGCCTTCCTTTGAATTAGATCGTATTATCATGGAAACAAAACACATTATAGTTTCCTAAAAGTTTTTAAAAGTGCTGAATTAGAAGTTTAATTACCACTCCAAGACTGTAAATGTGCCTGCAGGATAAATAGTTGGAAAATAATTAGCTTTTAAAGAACAGATTTAAAAACGACAGCGTAATAATTAAATGTATCGAACGTTTTCATTGTAGAGTCATAAACTATTTGCAAACGGTGTTAAGTTTTCATCACTAAATTGAAAAAAAAAGTTTTCCACTCTATGCAACTGTTTGTTTAAAAAGTAACGAAAAAATGGGGGGAAAATGCTTAAGTAATAGATTACGGCTTTTGGCGCCAGGATGACGTAGAATGGATGTGGCATTCTTGACAGAAGATTAAATAATGAAAACTATCTCAAGCACGTTGACAATATGATATAATTATGATACACCTCTAAAAGCCAGTAAGACTTGCATCTTGTCGGAGTTCTATGACTATAGATGAAGCCAGTGCTTTACTCTCTAGAGAATTGATAATAGTAATTATCCATAAATTTCTTACAAGATATTAAATTGTTTTTGGCCAAAGAAAAAAAAATGGCTACGAAATATAATCGCAGATCGATTACGGTATTTTTGGTGGACACCTCGATACGGATCCGTAAGTAACGCTGTTGTTGAGAGAATCGTAATTACATTAAGACCAGCCCCTGACTCTCTCCTTCTTCAAGTTAATCAACGCTTTCGATGAAACATTGATATCTAAAGTCAGACAAATGGCCCCGTGTTTGTCACAGGGGGGAACTTGGATATTTGATTTCATTTGGAAACCTCGATAAAGCTGCAGTATATCTGTGTATCCTTATATGATGAAGCCTATTTGATAAATATTATGTGTTTGGAAATTTATCTGTGGTTTTTCTTTGCTCGTAACCCGAACAATACAATTTTCTATAATAATTAGAACTCTATAAGGATTTGGATTTACGACGGAAAAGACCAGGAATTGTAGCTTAAGATAATACCATTTATCAATACAAATTGATTTACATGAAGTAAACAGAAACAGAACTCATTAAAAGCCGGATTTTCAAATTAGTTCCTTTCTATAATGACAAGAAGAGGAATTATTCGGTGTCTCATGGTTTTCCTACCCTTGTTATTATACCTGTATTTCGCTGTCATGTTAGAACTAATCGCCAATGTTCCAGAGCAGGGGAATAGTGTCACTTTTCAAACAGACACGATACAGAAAACGTTCCTTGAAAAAACAAATATTTCTTATTTGCAACAGACTAAAACAGATGATGCACATTTTCACGAGAAACCGTTATTACCTGAACGCAAAAAATATGGAAAATTTATGAGTGAGTGCCAGGAATATGAATCGAAGTGTTTGTATGGAAACATTGTGTTTAACTGTGAAAATATTAAAAGCATTAAATTGCAGGAAAAGATTGGACATGGTGTAACAAAACAAGCTTTTCTAGGATTATTTGATGGAGAAAAAGTCGTGGTCAAAATGGTGACACGTCATCAAAAAGAAGCTAGGGAGTGTTTAGATGGTTTACCAAACAGAGATAAATCAGACAACTTGAAACGGTCGAAGTGCTTTGTATTTCCAACAATGAAGTTAATGAAAGAAATTCTACTTCTTCATCAGCTTAAACATGAAGGATTTTTAACACTTTTCGGCTACTGTGTTCGCAGTGAAGAATCTGACAGTACAGATTTGTCTGAACATGGTGTCGTGGCTGTTTATGAGAGGGGAACCAGTATCTCAGTTGAAAAATTAAAAGGACTTTCAATGGGGGATAAAATTCGTCAATCAATGCATCTAATTTCATTTTTTCAATATCTGGCTAATTCCCCTCTTGGATCGCTGAGAGTAAGGGACTTTAAAATGGACCATTTTCTAATGGTTAATTCCACAATTAAAATGATTGATTTAGATGATATAGATAATCTAGAGCCCTCTTGTGATGCTTATTCCATAGAAAGCAACACAAAAAGGCTCCCGTGTGAGTACAACTTGACATGTGAGATGGGGTTATGTAACGGGCATAATGCAAAACGAAACATGGAGAGGGCAAACGAATTATTTTTCAGGCATCTATTAACACCCGATGTCTTTCCTCGAAAGTGTTTTAAAATGTTAGAAGACATCAATCAACGTCTGAGAGAATTGTCAGTGAATTATCACGGTATACGGAGATCACTGAAGAAATTATTGGACTCAGTCGTTTATCTGCATTAGCGCTTGTTTTCCAAAGCCGCTTTTATGGAGTAAAGTCCATTATTTATTCCATTTATTGACCTTTAGGTTTAAGTTTATCCTAATGCAAGCTTTTATAAGCTGTTACTTCCATAGTGTTTCTAAGTAAAAAAAAAAAAAAAAATACTCATTTCACGATAGTGCAAAAGCAGATTCAGTGGAATAAAGTGCATGGCTTCGAATTGTTTTTGTCTTGTTGTCTTGGAAACAAAATTAATTCAAGGTCCATCGATCATATTACACACCGTGTAAGTGCGCATTGTATTACAATATAATACATTGATCATTTTTCAAAATGTATATATAATAACGATATGCAACATTAAATTATGACATTTACAAACAAATCAAATAAGCGAATCAGGTTT